AAGTCTTTAGGAACTTCTTTGCCAGAAAGATGACAGGATTTCCATCAAAGCTTCAGCCATCTTCACCAGGCCATTACATGATTGGAGCCTATCCTTGTGTCAAGATGTGAGAGAGAAAAACAAAAACTCAAAATTTACCCTCATTCGTGTTTCTTTTCTAAGTTTTGACTTCCCTGCTACAATTTGCCTGCTTCCCCACATACACACACACCTCACACCCCCATTTTAGGGTTCTCAAGTAATGGTTTTATTTTTCCCAGAGGTTATAGTTATAATCAGTAAGAAAGACGGGCTGGGTAGGGGACCTCTCACATTGCCATAAAGGAATTGGAACGCCTATATAATTTTTTGAAAGCCATAAAACAAACAAAATTAAAACAATGCAATGTGGAGATACATAAATATGGGATAAAGGTATTTTTTAATAAAAGCAAGAGTGATAAACATGACATTCAGGAGATGGCCTCTTTTGCGGGGAGGTTAGGGGGTGGCATCAGGGAGGAAAGCACAGTGTTGGTAAGTTCATAAGCTGGGTGGTGGGTTCATGGGTGTTCTTGTAATTACGATACTTCATAACTTACACAGCTTACATATTCTCTTATATGTATCAAAAGTGATCTAATTTAAAAATTAAGGAATTTTAATGGTTTTTATAGTTTAAAGACTTTGGGTACTTATTGTTTAACACAGTCTTCAAAAAAGTTTCTACCAACTGAGAGACCCATTGTGGGGGGAAATTTTTGTTCTTCTTAAAGATGTTTAAAGCTCACTTGTTTTGAAAGGATAAGGACCACTCTTCAAAAAAGGTCTTAGGAAACTCACAGTAAGTTTCTTAGTATGTATTAAAGTCATCTCTAAGAGCATCTGTACGCATACCTACACATGTTGGTTTTCTCCATGACCAAAGAGAGGCTAGCCTGTGAATTTTCATGTAGAAGACAAACATATGTGGGCGATTTATCTGTAAATGCCCCTATCCTGTGTCTAGGCAGAAGTACTCTAGATATCCACCTATGTATTCTTACAACTACCCATTTCTGAGTGGGAGAAATGCAAGAAAGGTTATTAGAGTTAGAAAAATAAATAATAATTCATATCTTTGTGTAAGGCTTCATAATTTAAATCAAATGCTCCTCTTGCCCGCTTATCATCCTAGTTTTGAGTCTTGATTCATTAGCTCACACAGCTTCTCACATTAAGAACTTTTTATCAACTCCTGCCATTTTTTTTAGCTCTTCCTGTGCCATTTTTCTTGCTCGACCCAAGAGATAACCCAGCAGCAAGACAGGTTTTTATCCTGAATATCAGGTAGACCTTCCATCTCTCTTTTTTTCTAATAAGGCAGCTGTCTTCTCCTGCTTTTTCTTATCTTGCAGAGTGAGGCAACTAAGGTAGAGAATAAATATGCAAAAGCCCTCCCCAAAGTGACAGGTGGGAGAATTGGTTGGCCTTTTCTACTGCACACAAAAGTGAAATGTTGTCAAGTTCTGTACATCCTTCCTGCCTAAGAAAGTGAGTCTTCAGGCTGACAAAACCATAAGCATTCAGAGAGAAAGAAGGTGAATCTTGTAGGTGTAAGGTCTGCGTATGTAGGGGGCTCCCTTTCCTTCCTGCCTTCACTTTCCATATCAAGATTCTCCTCCCTCCCAGAGCAGCTCACCTCCTCTGGCAACAGACAGCAGGGTCTGATGCCTATCCCCCGGAGCCTTTCCCTCCTTTCTGGGCTCTCAGTTAGTGGATGCAGAGCAATGGCAGAGCTGAGGGCATGGGTCTGATGCCTCACCTCTGACCCTCATTCCTGCAGGCCCTGCTGAGCCCAGCCTGTCATTCATAAGAGCAAGTGCTTGTGTGAGTCGGGGTGGGGCTTCTGCACAATACTTTTGTGGTCAAAATGATAATAATAATCATACTAATAGCCATCATTTATTGATCGCTTTCTATTTACAAGTCATAGTGCAAAGTATTTGACAAGCGTGCTTTCATCTGAGTTTCACTACCCTATACTATGCATATTAATCGTGATCTCCATCTCACAAATGAGGAAAGTGAGTCTTGGATTGGGATCCCTAAAGTCAGTCAGTCTGCTATCCAATAGTGGACAGTGAGGGCCCTGCACATGGCCTAGGAACTTATCCCCAAATGTAGGGCCTTCACAAGGTTCTGATGGAGAAGTTAAGCCAAATTCTTTAGGTTCATTTTTACATACAATTAAGGGCTGCTTACTAGCAGTCCCATAACTGTATAATCAAGGGTAGCGAAAATTTGGTTTCCTAAACTAAAATGAGCTCATTGCTGGAGTTTATCACACACTCTGATCCAGTATTTTACTGAGAGGTAGGTGCCTTGGCGATGCTGCATTGGTTCCACTGTCCCCAAGCATGTGCAGAGTTTGAAGACTCACAGTTTTCCCAGCTCTCCATTATCAGGTGTCACTGCCTTTGTCCTGAATTGACAATCAAATAAATCTATTACTGTTTTCTTGTTCTTGAATGATACTTTACTGTCATCTTAGCATTATCACTATTTATATAATTTGCTGTGTGTTTTCCTCTTAACGCTATAGTGAGTGGTTAGGAATATTGACATATTTTCACCTGTTATTTTTCAAGAACTAGACTGAAGAAATGTATATGTCATATTAGGCTAAATCAAATGAAATTGCCTATACTCAACCATTTTTACCTCAAGTTAGACCATATGAAACTGACTCCATTCAACCTTTTTGACCTACAAAAATGACAGTTTCATATGGTTCAACCTAATAGTTCAAATATAAACTATTCTTACCTCGTTTGTTAGACAACTGTGTGCATAATTCCCTCCAAACATGTGGGTACAGTACCACTTAACTGGTGATAGTCTGTTAATGAATTTGCGCTATCTAAATGACTTTCAATGTACTATTATTATAAGTTAACTGTAAGAAAATAGCTGTTATTTTAAGTTTGCATACTTTTATTCCAAGATCTTGATTCAAGCTCATATTCTTTTTTAATGAGTTGTTCATTTATCTTCCTCCCTCATTCTTTATCATCACCAGAAGTGGGAATGGATAGAACATGTGGACCTTGGGGTCTTTTGTGCCACCTGAACAGACCCTGCTCAAAGAAGCTTAAAAAGCATGGCTTTAAGGGCAAAGGAGGTTTTACCGGTCCCACAACTAGTAAGTGTGGATTCAGGATTCACATCCAAGTCAGCTTGCCTTACAAATGGAGGATGTGATGTATGTTTTGGTAAATGATGTTTACACCCCTACGGTTTCCTGAACCAGAAAGCCCAGACTTCCTGACATCTCTTTAGGGCACCATCATTTATTGAATGCCTACTGTATACCAGCCACTTTGCTAGGTATGTTAGGCCAAACCTTAAGAATACCATAACAAACCTAGGAGGTTGTTCTCATGAATCCGTCAGGTGGAGAAATAGGTTCACAGACTTGAATACTAACCCAGTGTTGCAGAATCGGTAGGCAAAAGCAGAAAGCAAACTTCAAAACCCACTGGAATGTTCACCACACTGCTTTTTCTTTTTCCTCTCCCATCTTCCCTACCCTTTACTTCCATATGCAATTCATCATCAAATCCTATTGGTTCTACCTGTAAAATGACTGTGGAATCTGTCTCTACCGTTTTTACTATTGACGCTCGAACACTGTCTTGTCTATGGACAAACGCAGCAGTGTCCTTCCTGTCTCAGTCCCTACCCATCCCGCCTCCATGTGGCCTCCGACTTGCTCTACAATCCTATAACCAGACCTGATCCACCTCTTTTTAATGGCCCTGCAGTGCTCGCAAGGTGTATAGCATTTCACAATCCAGCTTTCCAACCATGGAGGAAAGACTACTACGATTCCATAATGTGGCCACTGTCTGTCTCACAAGCTGGATCCGGGTCAGCATGGAAGCTGCTTTGATGTTTATTCTGCTATAAATCAACACCCCTCCCTTGCCTCTTCCTGGAACAGGTTGTTGTCCTGACCTGGTCAAGTATGTAATTTCCCATAGCAATCATGTACTAGTACCTGTGACTAGTCGCTCCTTTAACCTATATAATTCTTTGGCACCTGCCAAAAAGAGCCAGTTTTGTCTTGCTGCTGCCCAAGACATGCCTCATGTGTAAGTTTCCCTTAATAAACTCTATGAATTGCCAGACTGGAGTGGCCGGTCTTGCTTTGGTCTTTCCCGGCCCCCCTCTTACAGAGGCCGAGTTTCAGTGCCAGGAACTTTCCCTGGGTCGGCGTATACTAACGTCCACCCGTCATCCTGGCCATCTCTGCCAACACTCGCTATCATCAGCCCCCACCCTACTGCCCCCTCCGGCTCCTCCCACTCCCTGTAACACCTGTGACCTTTCCAGTCCAACTCCTCGGCCTCCGTGCACTTGCTACTCAGGGTACCTGGAGGGACATTTTTTACATACCTACCATTTCTCCACATGGCAAATTCTTCTTCCTTTAAGGCCCAATTCATAGATCACTGCCTGTGGAAGGGTCATCCGGACTCTCCTTGGCAGTTCATAGCTCCTTTATGTCCACAGGACTTTGCACACATTTTTAATTAGACAGTTTCTGTTGAATGATAAAATGTTAACTGTTGTTGAATGTCTAATCTATCTTTCCCACTTGATAATGAGTCCCTGGAGGATAAAAATCATGTTGTATTTATCTTTGGTTTGCCAGCATTCTGAAAAGCACCTGGCACAAGGTCAGTACTCAATAAATGTCCATTACTGTACAAATACCCACATCGTCTCCAGTGCACATAGAGCACACTGAGAAGCTGTTTGGACAGAGGATTGAAAACTAACCGGGAGGAAGGATGATTGAAATCAATCTTGGTTTCACCAACAACCGGGCGGGTTAACCACGACAACCTTTGTTCTAGACTCAATTTCCCCCCCTTAGGTAGGGGAGGGGGCATCCGAGTGCCCTTCCAGGGCTCACATCGATAATGCAAAGGACTTGACAGCTCATCCCTAAAAAGGTCTTTTTTTCTCACCAGAAGGAGAAGACCTTGGGCATCTTCTAAGGAGAGCTATGGCATACAACCCAGAGCCTCTAGCCAAGATCTCTGTCATCAAGTTCAAGGGCCAGGATTTTAACTCCTTGAGAGATCATTGCCTAAGCAGAGGTCTGCTGTTTGAGGACGAGACATTCCCTGCTGGGATTTCTTCCATAGGTATGAAGCTGCTTCAGAGGGTATCCTCCTCCAGCCTGAAGTGGAGGCGGCCAAAGGTGAGCGAGTTCCCCACGCACACACCTAGCTCCTGGGCCTTCTGAGCCACCTTCCATGGCCCCACCCACTGAAAGAAGGTTGGACCTGAGACCTGGTTTTTACCTTGGAACCAAAATGAGTTCTTCAGAAAAGTAAAGTAGAGATATGCGTGTAGGTTATGAAAGCAACAAGTAACAGAAGGTAACAGAAATTGAACATGCCAACAGCGAGCTGCTGTTGAGCCAAAGGACTTTGATGCCAATAAAGTAAAGCTCTCTAGCAAAAATAAAAAAAGGAAGTGAGTGACACTGCCAGCTGGCCCAGCCTAAACTCTGGCCACCCTCTGAAAGGGCCTGTGTCTAAATGCCAATATGCTAAACCTGGTGTTCCCTCATCCAAGAGCAGCATGCCATCTGGGGAAATGCATGAGCAGCCTTTGAAAAGAATGCAGGAATCACTGTCCAAATTTGACCAAGTGATGTCACAGTGGAAGAGACCCCCCAGAAACAATTTCAGGAGAGTGCTGGGTTTGATGTCACTTCAGAGAGGGTATTTTTTAAGATTCCAGGGGCCCTTGCATTACCTGAGTTTCTGGCATTTCTAATATAGCAGAGATTGCCCCAAACTTTGCATTAAGAAGGAGCTCCAAAATCAGAACTAAGTTCCTAAGATTACTTAGTTTGACTATTGCAATGGCTTCTCTATTCGTCAGAGTTCTCCAGAGAGATAGAACCAATAGGAGATATATGTAACCTATAGCATATAACTAATAGGACATATATCAATTTATTTTATTGATATATTTATTATGAGGAATTGGGAGCAGTCCCACAATCTGCCATCTGCAAGCTGGAGCCCCAGGGAAGCCAGTGGTGTAGTTTAGTTTGAGTGGGAAGGCCTGAGAACCAGGGGAGCCGATGGTGTAATTCCAAGTCCAAGGACAGGAGAAGACCCAGGTCCCAGCGCAGCAGTCTGGCGGAAAAGGGGCGAATTCGCCCTTCCTCTACATTTTGTTCTGTTTTGTTCCATGGATTGGATGATGCTCATCCACATGGGGGAGGGCAATCTGCTTTACTGAATTCACTGATTCAAATGCTAATGTCATCTGGAAACACTCTTACAGATTCACCTAGAAATAATGTTTAGCCAAATATCTGGGCACCCCGTTACCCAGTCAGGTTGACACATAAAATCAATCATCACAACTTCCTTCTGCACCAGTGGATGTTTCAGAGCTTCAAAGGGCCAGCCTGTCTCACAGAAACAGAAAACACTGAAGTCAGGAAGCCCCTGCCTGCTGCTGCGGTCGGTGGGGAAGAGTTGGGCACATGGAAGCAGGTTGCCTGACTCGTAGCCTGCTTCCTGTGGGACTTGGACCGAATCACTCTGCTTCTCTGAACCTTCCCTCACCCTGGCTGGGCCTTGGAATCATCTGAGGAGCTATGTAAATGCTGAGCTCTACCTCTGGTTGACCTGCTAAGTCCAGGTTGTGGAAGGTGGGACCCAAAAGTCCCCATGTCTGTGAAGCTTCCAGGTGATTCTGAGTCACACTCAGTTTGGAAACCACCCCTTGCCAGTGACTTCACTACCCTGGTGTGCCCGGCCCACCTGGCGACAGGGGAACTGCCCAGAGCCAGAGCATTCCCACCATCCCCAGCCAACTTTACCTATTTTCTCTGTGGGCTTTATCTCAATAAGTCAGCCCAGTGGACTTAAATGCTTCTGGGTATAATTTCCGTCCTACCATTGCTCTTTTTGGATCATCTAATGCCCTGCTAAAGCCCAGGGTGAAGAAGAAACAGGAAGCTCAGAGAACAGGAGACTTAGATGCTGGTTTTGTGCCCAACTTTGATGCAGACAGTTCCAGTGTTTGCCCATAAACTTGATGTTGACTAGTGACTTGTGGTTTGAAATAATTGCCATTTGATTTTTCATAACATTAAAATATTTCTCTGTTCCTAATTAGCTAAAATTTTGGTATTTCTATTTTAATTTTTATTATTAGGGTAAATCAGAGAAAGTGTGCATTTACCAAATGCCTTTGTGGCATTTATTGGAAGGGTATAAATTGCTTCCTCTTTGGCCCTTATAAATGTGACAAAGGAATTGTCTATTCTCTGAAAGTTTGAGACAACTCAGCAGGAAAATCGTGTGTACTCAGAAGCCTTTATAGAGACGTTAGGGCGATATTTCTTTGATCATTTTAAATACTATTCCAAGGTTATTAATCTTTCAGGTTATTTATGAACTTGAATGATTTGGGGCCATGTTAATTTTCATCAGAAAATCATCAGTATTTTTAAGTTGATTAGTATAAAATTTTACAGCATGTTTTTATATTGCTAAAACCCCATTTTGACTTCCACTTTTATTTGGGTTTCTCTACCACAATTGCCAAAGGTTGGGTCTATGTAAACCTTTCTTCCCTAAACAGAGCAATTTAGTTGCTTTGTTGATTTTGTTGTTTTTCTATTTTATAATTCACTAATTGTGCTTTTTTTTATCACTTCCTTCTATATTTGTGAGGCTCTTTTTGTCTTTTTCTTTCTAACATCTTTGAGTTGATTGTTTAATTTATTTTTATTCTATGTTGTTTAATAATAAACAGACTTGAGGCTCTGGGTTTGTCTGTGAGCATGGCTTTTGTAATTTTGCAACTGTTGCAGAAGGAGGGGAATCAATATTTATTGAACATGTACCCTGCCTGATGCTGTGCTAAGTATTTCTCATCCTTTCTCATTTGTAAAATAGAAGGACCCTTGTTTTTGCAAGGCTGTTGGGAGATGATCTGTGAATAAAGCACCTAGCCCTCAGTGAGGGTTTGATAATGGCAGCTAGTGCCTTGATTGCTTTATCATCTGAGTCTCCTATTTTACACACAAAGAAACTGGGGCTCGGCAAAGGAAAAGGAGTTGCTCAGGGTCCCCCAGGGAGCAGTGCAGGGCAGAATTCCATACCAGGTCTGCCTGAACGGCCTCTCGAGGACACACCCACCTCCTCTGCTGATCACAGGGGAGAAACCAGGAAGAAAACCAGTCAAGAAGAGCTGCACTGAGGGTGGGTCAAGAAAGCTAAGCGATGATGACTTTGTTCCTGGTCCAAAAACCCTATGGCCTCCACATTCTTTTTAATTTCCATGAGTGGAGTGTCGATGCATCTGCTCACTGGCAGCAAGCCTCCACTGACGTTTACTTCCTTTTTCCAGTAGAAGGGGAGGGGATAGTTACAGCCATTGAAGTACCCCAAGTAGTTTAGAAACTGGGAGAGTCGCTCTCTCCGTGGCCCTGCGCAGAGCTCTGCCCTACTGACTTGTGTTGGGAAAGCTCCCCAAGTTCTGTACAGCCATGGGGACAGCAGAGGGTTGGGCATGATGACTCCATCCAGGGAGTCTGGTCCCGAGTGCACCTCTCCAGCCATCTGAGAGGGCTGGTTATGTGTAGGGAAGGCAGTAGGAGGAAGTGTAGTGAGGTGATTACCCCTCGTGTACCTGCTGGGCTGCTGTGTTTGCAGACATGTACACCTTTGTTTTCCTCTTGGCAGCGCCACCAGGAAACTGGTAGTTTACAAAGGGCTGGCAGTTCTCACAAGGCACCAGGCTCTATACATTCATGGCTGTTGAGTAAATGAATCTATTTCCACTTTACAGCCCTGTTCTCGGGGGATGTATTTGTCAATGCAAAAATAAATGATACAGGCACGATTACCAAATTATGCAAACTTTTGCGATGGAAACCCTAGAAGAGCTGCACAGAAAGGATGCCGAGGGTAATCCTGCAAGCTTCTAGTAGGGGGCAAACCTAGAGGCTGGTGGGATGAGGGCAGGAGCCAGACCTTTGACCCAGTGTTTCCCCAAAGTGCCCGGGGAGCCCCTTCACCAATTCGCACCATCCTCATGTCTGCTGCGAATTCCCCAAATTCTCCCCAGACATTGAGGCATTGCAGAACCTAGCCACCCCTTTTCTGTGGCCAGCAGATGCTATGTGTGTTGAAGGTTGAGGGAGAACTGAGTAACAGCACCTGAGATGAGGGGCCCGGGGTCTTCCACTCAGTCTGTGAGTTAGCCAGGGGGTGAACAATGATCTGAGGAAGGCACGTCCTGCACATGGCTGGACTTGAACCTGGAGCCCACAAGGCCTCTGCTGCCTTCTAAGAGATGACATTTCACAAGGACAGCTTCATTATATTTATAAAAGTTTCCTCTAATAAATATATCCTATTCTTTTTTCCCCCCTTGTTTATAACCTCTTAATAAAACACTGCTCATTAGTACCGGGGTGGCTGACTTTGATGTAAGGATTCTGAGTCCTTATTTATGCTCTCTCCTCATGCACTTTGCTTATGCATTTATTGCCTGTCGTGTCGATTACATATACACCCCTTTGACATCTGCCTTCCTGATAGCAATAAAACCTAAAGAATGAGGGGAACTTTCCTAACTTAGATTTTAAGCACCTGTTTAAGAATTAACCTCTATGTCTCAAAGACAAAGTAAGTGGTATTTTAGGTACCATACTGGGACACAAGAATGAAAGATGCTCTTGGTTTTTCTCCCTCTTTCCTAAGGATTTATTAGGTTGTAAATCAGAGCCTCACTTCATCCTGGAAGGTGCAAGTAGATTTGACATCCAACAAGGAGAGGCAGGTAAGAATTCAACCTCTTCTCTCCTGATCCTGGATTGGGGCAGGCTGCTCAAAAGTCAGCCTCCAGGTTTGGAGGGGAGGAGGCTGATGCCCACTCAGACCCCCAGAATTCTGCCACAGCTGCTGTGGATGGACTGCTCATGCCGAGCCCTACACCCTGCAAGTCAGTTCAGCAGTGGTGTGCAGAGCCATTTGGGGTGAAGAATTATAGAAGAAAGGGAGAAAATGGACACAAGGTTTATTCTGAGCACTGAGTAGAGAGAAGCATCAGCTGCTGAAAGATGGGAAGAAAAGAGGCTGAGAAAGGGGAAGCAAACATTTATTAAGCTTCAGTGATGACTGTACTGACGCTTTCCATGTGCTAGTTCTTTTATGCCTTGTAACATCCCTATTCTATATATGTGGAAATAAAGGGTCCAAGAAGCAAAATAGTTTCCTTACTGTCACATAAGCAATAAGTGACAGAGTTCAGTTTAAATCCAGGGCTGTTTGACTCCCTCCCACCTACCAGGCAGCCAAGGGGCAAAGGTGTTGCTAAGAGCTGAGCAGTGTAGACAGGGAAGAGGCAGTCCTGCCTTGAAGGAGCCCCCTGGGTCGTATCAGGAATGGCCAAGACAAGGCCCTGAGCAAGAGGCCTAGCAGTGGAGTCGCGGGATTGGTTGGGAGTGGAAAGTGGACAAGGAGTTGGCAGACAGCAAAATGAGACAGGAACTCTTCTGAGAACAGACTCTATGTCCTTAAAATGTCAGCTTACAAATTATGCCTGCACTTGAATTTCACCTGGTAGAATCATTGTATCTTGGGCCACGTTGATAGATGCCTTTGTGGCTTGTTTTCAAGTTTTGGGGAAAGCCCCCACCAGCCAATAATCCTCCTATTGGAGCTTCACCGAACTCAGAGACGGGACCTCTCTGAGGATGCCTTTGTGGCTTCTATACCCAGCACAGTGCCTGACATGAAATGACATTCGAATCATTGATTATATTGAAGATAAAGGAGGGAAGACTCAGGAGAAGGGGATGATGCTTCTGTTCAAAGGGCTCACAATGACATCCAAGGAGACACTCAAGCCATGTGTCCCTCAAGGGGGAAGAGGAGAGAAACCCTGTGTGGGCTAGTGGGGTCCCAACACTGGTAGGGGATGAGCAAATACTAACCAAGGAAAGCACAAACCTGTTTTCTGAAACGGAAAAGTAGAGAATACCATTGCCACTGATGCTGACAACAAAATTCACTGTAACTTTAGCTCTGGGCACCTCTGGCAAAATGAAAATCCGAAGGCTCTCCTGACCTCCCTCAAACTACCGGCATCCCCCCATCATCCCCTCCATCTCCCCCACCATCACCACCAGCCGCTTCTCTATCTTGCTTAGAACTGGCCCCAGTGAATCCTTCACGTCTCCACTCTCAGACAGAAAAACATGCATTCTTCAGAAGGAGGTGTATGAACTCTGCTGGCAAAGACCTGTGAAATGCATGGGGTTGGGCTTCCAGGTGTGTACAATCGACCTCTCATGCTTAGCTTATGTCCCCTCACAGGAGATTGCTGGTTCCTGGCAGCGCTGGGCTCCTTGACACAGAACCCACAGCATCTGCAGAAGATTCTGAAGAACCAAAGCTTTTCTAGCCAGTATGCAGGGATTTTCTGTTTTCGGGTATGTGCACTGCTGGGATGCTCCTACATGGGTTTCTCTGTGAGCACAGGGAGGTAACTGTCTTAAATATTCTCTTGGTCTGGCGGCCTGAGATGTGGAAGAGATACCTGTGTGTTAGTTGCTCTGTGTAGCTCCTAAAAAGGATTTGAGCTCATGATCTGACAACACATGGGACAGATGAGCATTAAAATATTTTCATGTAAATTTTTTTAAAGGCAAAAACAATCAACAAAAGAGAAGTCATTGATCAAGAACCCTGTATATCACTGAGCTTTTGTCTATGTCTATTCCTGTGTCATATCTTGTTATTTTGATTACAGTAGCCTTAGAGTAAGATGTGACATCTGGTAGGATGAGTTCTCCTTCATTATTCATTATTCTTTCCTTTAAAATATCTTGGTAATTCTTGCATATTTATTCTTCAAAGAGAATTTTAAAATAATTTTGTCTAATTAAAAAGAAAAGCCGCTGTGATATGGAATAGAGCAGCCTTAAATTTATGTATTAATTTGAAAAAATTACATTTTTATTATTTTAAGGATTCTTTCCAGAAACATGGTCTATCTTTCCATTTATTCAGAACTAGTTTTATGCCCTTCAATAAAATGTTACAGTTATATTCTCATATTGGTACTGTACCCTTCTTGGTAAATGTATTTCCAAATATTTTACAGTTGTGCAGCTTATGTGATTGTGCCCTCTCATTTCTAACCAGATGTTGTTGAAAAGAGAAAAGCTACTCATTATTATATAGTAAATTTTGTGGAGCCACCTTACCAAATTACTTTATTTGTTCAAATTTTTTTCTTTGGTAGAGTCTGGGTTTTTAGGTATCTAATTGTATCTGCAAATCAAGATAATATTGTCTCTTCTTTAAATATTTATAGAATTTATTTTACCCTTTTGCCTTGTCACATTAGTTAGAACCTCACAATTTTGAATAAGAGTGACAAAAGCAAAATCCTGCCTCCTCTGGGTTTTAGTAACATACTTTCCTGGTACACTGTTCTTTAAATATGCTGTTGGGTTTTATTTACTAAAAATTTTACTAGGATTTTTGCATTTGTATCACATGTAGAATTGGAGTCTAGTTTTTTTTTAATTATGTGTAGGTTATGCTAGCTTTTTTAAGTGAGACCAACTGAGCTTTACATACATTGATCTGAAGTAATTTGAATAATGGTGTTAATCATTGGCTATCTGTTCTTTGAAAATGAAGTAGACACTACTTAAATCATTGAGACCTACCTCTTTTTTAAATGTGATTTCTTTAATTTTTCCCATGTGCTCAATGGCTATTGATCTGCTTGGGACTCCTATTTCTCCTGGAGTTAATTCTTGAAATTTATTTTTGCCAGGAAAACCAACTGTTCTTTCTATAGTTCCAAATTCATTGCCAAAAAAAGTTCCTTATATGATTCTCAGAAAATTCATTTAATTTCTTCTTATTTGTGGTTACATCTATTTTATCAATCCCAACACTATGTTTTCATTTTTCCTGTTTTTCTTAATCCAGCTTTTCTTAATCCAATCAATCTGTTGTACTGTTTTTTTAACAAATTAACTTTTGGTTTTTATTATTCTTTCTATTCTTTTTTTGGGGGGAGGGGGTTGTTTTCTATATAATTACTTTCAATTTATTTTCATGAATTCATGTTTACTGTCTCACAATTTTATTATTTATTTTCTGAAACTTCACACTTAATATTCTTAGTCTTTTTGAATGATATAAGTTTTAAGACTATACAATTTCTTCTGAAATCTTATTCATATCTGTAGGTTTTGATATAAAA